AGTTACGTTGTGACGTTTGATAGCACACAAGGTGTTCCTTCGGTATTCGGGAGTTGCACAATCTCATAGTCAGAGGAATATGTATAAGTCATGAAGGAAGCAATAGCAATAAAACTAAACGATCGTAATGCTAAGCTAATGGATGGGTCTTGTCCATCACATCATTCTCTAATGATATGATCATGTTCATCAAATGACAACACATGTCTACGGTCAGGAAACTTAACCATCTTTGATTAACAAGCTAGTCAAGTAGAGGCATACTAGGGACACTCTATTTTGTCTATGTATTCACACATGTACTAAGTTCCCGGTTAATACAATTCTAGTATGAATAATAAACATTTATCATGATATAAGGAAATATAAATACCAACTTTATTATTAGCTCTAGGGCATATTTCCTTCACTCTCCCACTTGCACTAGAGTCAATAATCTAGATTACATAGTAATGATTCTAACACCCATGGAGTCTTGGTGCTGATCATGTGTTGCTCGTGGAAGAGGCTTAGTCAAGGGTCTGCAACATTCAGAACCGTATGTATCTTGCAAATCTCTATGTCTCCCTTCTTGACTTGATCGCGGATGGAATTGAAGCGTCTCTTGATGTGTTTGGTTCTCTTGTGAAATTTGGATTCCTTCGCCAAGGCAATAGCTCCAGTATTGTCACAAAAGATTTTTATTGGACGCGATGCACTAGGTATTACACCTAGAACGGATATGAACTCCTTCATCCGGACTCCTTCATTTGCTGCTTCCGAAGTAGCTATGTACTCCGCTTCACACATAGATCCCGCCACGACGCTCTGCTTGAAACTGCACCAACTTACAGCTCCACCACTCAATATAAATACGTATCCAGTTTGTGACTTAGAGTCATCCAGATCAGTGTCAAAGCTTGCATCGACGTAACCATTTACGACAAGCTCGGTGTCGCCTCCATAAATGAGAAATATATCCTTAGTCCTTTTCAGTTATTTCAGGATGTTCTTGACCGATGTCCAGTGATCCACTCCTGGATTACTTTGGTACCTTCCTTCTAAACTTATAGCAAGGCAGATATCAGGTCTGGTACACAACATTACATACATTATAGAACCTATGGCTTAGGCATAGGGAATGACCTTCATTTTCTCTCTATCTTCGTAGTGGTCGGGCATTGAGTCTAACTCAATTTCACACCTTGTAACACAGGCAAGAACCCTTTCTTTAACTTATCCATTTTGAACTTCTTCAAAACTTTATCAAGGTATTTGCTTTGTGAAAGTCCAATTAAGCGTCTTGATCTATCTCTATAGATCTTGATGCCCAATATATAAGCAACTTCACCGAGGTCTTTCGTTGAAAAATTCTTATTCGAGTATCCTTTTATGCTATCCAGAAATTATGTATTATTTTCAATCAACAATATGACATCCACATATAATACTAGAAATGCTACAGAGCTCCCACTCACTTTCTTGCAAATACAGACTTCTTCAAAAGTCTGTATAAAATCATATGCTTTGATCACACTATCAAAGCATATATTCTAACTCTGAGAGGCTTGCATCAGTCCATAAATGGATCCCTGGAGCTTGCACACTTTGTTAGCACCTTTAGGATCGACAAAACCTTCTAGTTGTATCATATACAACTCTTCTTTAAGATATCCACTAAGGAATGCAGTTTTGACATCCATTTGCCAAATTTCATAATCATAAAATGCGGTAATTGCTAAGATGATTCGGACGGACTTGAGCATCGCTACGGGTGAGAAGGTCTCATCATAGTCAACTCCTTGAACTTGTGGAAAATCTTTCGCAACAAGTCGGCCTTGGTAGACAGTAACATTACCATCAGCGTCAGTCTTTTTCTTAAAGATTCATTTATTCTCTATGGCTTGTCGGTCATCGGGCAAGTCTACCAAAGTCCACACTATGTTCTCATACATGGATCCCATCTCATTAGTCACATTGCTTGCAAGGCTTACAGTGATGTGCATTACCGAGAGGATCCAGAGATACCTCTCCGATACACGGAGTGACAAATCATAATCTTGATCTATGCCAACTCAACAAACACCTTCGAAGACATCTGTAGAGCATCTTTATAATCAGCCCGTTACACTGTGACGTTTGACAGCACACAAGGTGTTCCTCCAGTATTCGAGAGTTGCACGATCTCATAGTCAAATGAATATGCATAAGTCATGAAGAAAGCAATAGCAATAAAATTAAACAATCATAATGCTAAGCTAATGGATGGGTCTTGTCCATCACATCATTCTCTAATGATGTGATCCCGTTCATCAAATGACAACACATGTCTATGATCAGAAAACGTAACCATCTTTGATTAACGAGCTAGTTAAGTAGAGGCATACTAGGGACATTATGTTTTGTCTATGTATTCACACATGTACTAAGTTTCCGGTTAATACAATTATAGCATTAATAATAAACATTTATTATGATATAAGAAAATATAAATAACAACTTTATTATTGCCTCTAGGGCATATTTTCTTCAGCCCCGGGGTGTCCCCCAGCGCGCCGGGTTCGGGCTGGGTCCGTCGGTGCCAGTTTCGGCCGAAACCGGCGAAAAATAGGCTCTTGGGGCGCGACTGGACCGATTTTTGGGCGTCGACTCTAAAAAATTGCCTGGGAGGGTATGTTGGGGACGCGGCTGGAGATGCTCTTACGTGTCGCTCAAATGGTTGTATATAGTACTCCCTTCTTTTCAAAATATAAGGCGCGTGATTTCATATTTTTATCGCATAACTTTGACTATGAATTTTACTTATTTGCCTACAAAATTATGATAAAGACATATAAGATAAAATTGTTTTGCAAGACAAATACAATGATACTATTAATACATGTTTCATCCATGTATTTTGGTATATATACATATATATTAGTGGTCAAAGTTGTGCATCAAGGATCGTGCAGAGTCCAACGCGGTTTATATTTTGAAAAGGAGGAAATACTATTTTAGTGCTAGATACGTACATTTGAGCGAGTAATTCTGCACGGACGGAGTACTTCTTAAAGAAAATCTAAAGAGTACATCTAAAACTTCTCAAATAAAATCTAAACTGATATAGTGTGTCGGAATAAAATATAATATTCTAAATTTCTATGAAGACAAACTATGAAAGCGATCTGGACACCACCAAAAGAGAGAACAACATTAGCCAAGTTGCTTTTCATTCCCCTCTTGCAAGGTGACTAAGGAAATTCTTCCTCCCCTGGATATTCGCCGGCGTGCCTATGAATTCGCTCCCCTTCTCTTGCAGCTCTAGTGACAGGAAAGGAATTTCTGGTGCCTCGACTCTGGCCAATAGATAGCTAGATAGGGTTTTAGTCCTCGCAGGGGCGGCACACCGACCGATGATTGCACTTCTTCCTCAAGACAGTCTTTCGGGCACCCATTCGCCTCAAATTTGTCTGTCGGGACAGGTTAGAGGAACTCCGGCGTAGATTTCTACTAGCTCCCCAGGGCGACGAGATTAGGCTTTTCCATGGTGCATACGCAACTACGAGATTTGGTGTCAGATTCTTCAGATCGATTCAATGACGAGGACTGCGATTCTGAGGCGCTGGTCATGAGAAGCACGTGCTCGAAGACTTCTCGGTTGTCACCAACAAGGTCAGGCTGGCTCCGGTATGGAAGCGGCAAAAGCGACACATCGACGACTCATTCTGACGGAAGCAATGGCCATTCAGCGGTCCATGGATTTCAATGTAATTTTTACTATGCTTGAGGTGCTTTGTACATCTGGTGATTTTTTATAATAGATTTGATCCTTTTCGGAAGAAGGGGGGGGGGGGTAAATGGTAGAGGAGCACTCCTACATCATACTGCCTTCAATCTTTTTACTTTACATATAAGATTTTTCTGAAGTACTTTGTAAAGTTTGACCGACCTTTTTTAAAAAGTATCAACATTCACAATACGAAATCAGTACTATTAGATGCATAATGAATTTAATTATCATATTATGTAATTTTAGTATTGTAGATGTTGCTTTATTTTTCAAATAAATAGGCCAAATATTACTAAATTTGACTTCAGAAAAATCTTATAAGCAAAGTAAAAAGGACCTGGAAGGATCTGAACCAACCATAATCTTAGGGATCTCGGTTGAATATTCAGATTGTATTCTAATGTTTATACTTAACTTCAAACAATTACCTTCCATTTCGGCCCGACATCACCTGACCAGCGCTCTTTCTTATTGTTGTCGCTGTCGGCAAGTGCCTTGGCCGCGGCAGGGCTCACACCCAAAGCGGGGCTGACAGTTCCCGGCTAGTGGTGAGGCGTCGAGATGGTGCGATGGATCCCTCCGCTGCGGCGGGCCCCTCGCATTGGATCGAGGTCGCTAACTTACCTGGCCGCACCAAAAGCAACCGCATGGATGGTTCCCCTTTCCTCTCTCTTCTCTTAACTGAACAGATTAGAATTAATTTGTGAATGGTGTTGGATAGCTCTCACCCGCATTATGTCTGCGGATCACGTCCGAACATTTGTGGTGTCCATTTACGGGTTAGGAGTACTTAGCATTATTTGAAATTAATATAAACACTTTGTTGTATACCGGAACCAAGTAACCTCAGTTTCCTTTTCCCAAAATACGAACTAGAAAATGCTGTACTCCCTTCATTCCTAAAAATTTGTCTTTCTAAAGGTTTCAACAAACGACTACATACGGAGCAAAATGAGTGAATCTATACTCTAAAATATGTCTATATACATCCGTATGTGGTAACCATTTGAAATCTCTAAAAAGACAAATATTTAGGAACGGAGGGAATAATATTCATGAACCATGGTGTTTTGCGTTGCAGTTAGCTAGTTACAACTCTTAAAACCATGGTTTCTGAGAACTGTGATTCGTTCTTTGGCTCCAAACCTCGCCTGAATTTATAAAAATTTCGAGCAGCTTAATTAGCAACAGTCAAGCCGTTCTCCTAGACTTGATTTATTCATTCCATGATTATTACGTAAGCTTGCAGACGAGAGCTGCTACACGAACGGACACCTGAGTACGACGCTCATCGACTGGATCCCGGGCATGCCGCCGATCAGCCTTGGAGACGTCTCCAGTTTCGTCCGCACCACCGACCCGGACGACTTCGGCCTCCATTTCAACATCGTGGAGGCCAACGGCTGCACCAAGGCCGGCGCGCTCATCATCAACACCTTCGACGACCTAGAGGCTGACGTCCTCGCCGCCCTCCGCGCCGAGTACCCGCGCATCTACACCGTCGGCCCCCTAGGCTCCCTCCTCAACCACCAGCTAAGGGGCGACGACGATGCCTCCGCCATAGGCCTAAGCCTGTGGAAGCAGGACACCGAGTGCCTCGCGTGGCTGGACACGCAGCAGCCGGGCTCCGTCGTGTACGCCAACTTCGGCAGCCTTACGGTCCTTTCCACCGACCAGCTCGCCGAGTTCGCGTGGGGCCTCGCGGCCAGCGGCCATCCGTTCCTCTGGTCCATCAGGGACAACCTTGTCCCCGGCGCCGGCGCTGGCGCGAGCTCGCTGCCGGCGGAGTTCGTCGCGGCGACGGCAGGGCGGTGCTGCCTGACCACGTGGTGCCAGCAGGATCGGGTCCTTGGGCACCCGGCCGTGGGGTGCTTCCTGACACACAACGGGTGGAACTCCACCTGCGAGAGCGTGGCGGCCGGCGTGCCGATGGTGTGCTGGCCGGGGTTCGCCGACCAGTACACCAATTGCAAGTACGCCTGCGAGGTGTGGGGCGTGGGCCTCCGGGTTGACGAGGAGGTGAGGAGGGAGCAGGTGGCCAGCCACGTCAGGCATGCGATGAAGGCAGAGGAGATGCGGGGGAGCGCGGCCGGGTGGAAGGCCAAGGCGGAGGAGGCAGTGGCGCCCGGCGGGTTGTCGTGCGAGAACCTGCAGAGCATGGTCAGAGCGCTCGGCTGTGTCAATGCTGCTGAAGTCCCAGGAGTTTAACTGACCGACCAGTATCGGGGTCACCCGGTCCTCAGGCAAAGTGTTCTACGACTGCAATTGCAATCAGTGATGCCAATAAAGTGCCTGTAAGGCTTAAGCCACTGCTCGTTATTTATTTCGTACTCTGTAATTCGAATATCCAACACAGCCGTCTGATCGCACCGTGATGTAGGAGTATAATATGCTTTTGGATCGTTTGATTGATGCGGATAAATGGATTTTGGGCACAAGCTTAGCTTGGTACAATTAATTCAGGAATCTGATAAACAAAACGAGCGTTTTCGGTGACAAGTTTAGTGAAGCATTGATGACAACTTCAGTTGATAGACATGACAATTTCATGCTTTAGTTTATTTTTAACAGAAAATCAGCGTGTGTTAACTAAATTGTCATCCTTGCATCACTAGAATTGTTATTGAAAACGTTTGATGTCATGTGCTCGTACCTGACGTATCATTTCATTAATTTACACAGTGATGAAGGAAGAAAAAGATTTAAAGCAGGACAGACTCTGAAACATAAAAAATAAATCATACACACTACAATGAATTATATTTTTAAAGAGTGAACTTCCGTTTTGACGTTTTATTTTAACAATTTTGTCGCAGATTTATTTTGACTATTAAATGGGGCCAGCCACGGTTTTATTTTAACAATTTTGTCGCAGATTTATTTTGACTATTAAATCATACACACCACGTCAGGCATGCAATGAAGGCAGAGGAGATGCGGGGGAGATGCAGGTGGCCAGACCGTTTTATTTTGACTATTAAATGGGGCCAGCCACGGTTCCATTGGATTACCCCATCTAGCGAGAACCGTATCGTTTTTACCCTCATTTAGTAAAAGGTTTGCCAGTTTTTATCCTATTTGGTGCTCTGTCACCTGGATCTCGACCATTAGGTACACGTGGCATATGTCATACTGCAATTTTGTGTACATATGCACCTCATTTACATTACGAAACTGTTGGGGCAAGCGGTTCGCTAAGATGGCGCAAAACAAAAACAAAACCTATCATTTGAACCTGGAACATGTTGTAGATCTATATCACAATTCATGGGATCAGTTTTTTACCACTAGATGTGCAGTCATGACAGTGGACATAGAGTTGGTGATGCGCGTTCCTATCTCTTCCCCGCGGACCCCTCGAATAGTTTGTCGTGGTTCCCTCCAACGCTCTGTCCAACCATCAAAGGTACGGTGGCTCGAAGGTTTCTTCGTGCGCAGGGAGGAACGTTGAGCGGCGAATAGCTAGATCCAATCGCAAAACATGACTACATGAGTGTGGGGGTGACGACGGCTATGTCATGAGACTGGTTGAACCCTTTCGAGGGTCTGGCCCCTCCACTTAAATAGACGTCGGAGAAGGGCTCAACAAGTGAGGCTCATTAGGACTTCACACCCTATTTCCACTCGGATCTGATCCGAATGAGCTCCTATCCCTTAAACATGTGACCCTACAGGTTCGCGCACACATGGACACGACTCGAGTCGATAACTGGTAGCGGCTTCTACAGAACGTGACTGGTCCCATGTGTGTGTGCAAATTGCAAAGTCATGTTGAATAACCTTAACATTGTGTCATATGCACCATTCCTTTTCTCTCGTGATACATATTGTCCAGCACAAGGCAAGTACTTGTCACCCTTGTTAGTAGCTTGACCTCTCTTCTAGAAACCGTGAGGCAAATTCTCAAACCATTTTATCGTTAACTCAAGTTGCATACCCATGCTTTTAAAATATGATCACTCGAGGGGGCCAAAGGATATCTCTCTGGATCAAAGGGACTAATCCAATCTTTGTCGACTAATACTTCTCAAACGTATCTAGTATTTTTACTTGTTTCTTGCGATTTTCATTTCATAATTGCATAGTTTTGGCACCAATGTTTATTATTTTGTAGACTAAGCTATTAATCCAGTCCACGGTGCCACTTGTTTTTTTAGACCTTTAAGAAAAAAATGTTGCAAAGGCCAAAAAAATTAAAATACATCGCATTGTTTTGGAGGAGGGTGAAGTCAGCCAGCACCTGAGGCCCCGAAGGAGAGCCTCAGAGCTCCCATGCAGTGGGCCCACACGCTAGGATGTTAGCCTTGAGCTAGGAGCGTGTGGGACCTAGGGAGCTCCGCTCAACCACCTCTCAATCTCTCTCTATATACTCTTCTAAAGTGGGAATTCATCGTGGGAGCCTTCTTCATCGACATTGCTACCACCATGACCATGTGTGAGTAGTCTTCCTTGGACTATGGATCCATAACAATAGCTAAATGACATCTTATGTGCCTTGTTACTCAATATAAAGATCACATGAACTGCCCTATATGATTGTGATCCATCTGATGTAATTACCGGTGTGTTGTTTGTGGTGTGATAAATTGTCACCTTATGATCAGATCTATGTATGATTTTTTGGGGATTCTTTTGAGTTCTTTGTTGCATGATTTATATACGTATATGCTCTCCAATTTATTAGTCTTGCACTGGCCAAGTTTAGATGAACAAGCTCCAAGAGGGAGTTGTCTATGTTAGTTAGGTTCAATGCTGCAAGTAATATATTGCAATGACAGAAAGTGGAAAAGGCTTTTATTGTGTTGTCATCATTAAGGATAAAAAGATAGTGTATAGTTCTCAGATTAGCTGAAAGTAAAGACAATAGACTATTGACATTATGTCACCTTGCTTAATGCACTCCTTTACTTAATACTTTGAGCCATATGCTGGATAACGGTCTTATGGTGCGGTGTTAGCTCCAACGGAGATGTATGGAAGGTTAGTGACTGCATTTTCAAGAGATTTTCATAGCACAGAGGATTTGGAGCAATATGGAAATCATATCCTTCTTTATCTTCTTAATCAAACTAATTGTGTGTAGAAATTTATCATGATCGTAGGAGTTGGCGAACAATGGCCATTCCATCCTTCATCTCCATGTTCCTTTTCTTACTCATCAATTTCTAAACATTCTTTCTAAAAGGGTCCCCTTGTTGCTCGATTGTTTCCTTGGATTCCTGTATAAGGTTATGTTCGTGCAATATAGAGGCTTGGGAGGTGGCGGTAGTCTGCTTCACATATTCCAAGAATAAAGAGGCTTTATGGAAGTCATTAGCGATGCAAAAGCCATGGACATTCTCCAGCAAGCCCATATGCTTAGAGACCTCCTCGTGATAAGGGGAGAGTTCCTTATCCAACAAGTTCCAACAAGCCATGGACATTCTCCAACAAGCCTATGAACATTCTCCAACTACGGTTACACCCAATCCATAGTCTGAAAATAGGTTATTCTATTGGTTGCTAGGAAAATGAAAATAAAAAGGAAGTTTAACTAAACTACAAACGAGAAGGTAAAAACAGAAAATAAAAGGTACTAGGTTAGTAGGGATGACGCTTCAGTAATAATGCATTCATAGGGGTTTCAGATTCATCACCCCTATTGTAATCTAAGTAATTATGCGAAAGCACAATTCTAGGTTCAGATAACTAAGATGCTTTGCATAATTTATACCAGTGGGCGGAGCCTGGTAGGTTTAGGGTTTAGTGAATACATGAACTCCTCATACTACGGTCATCACCGGAGTGAACCACGATTGTTGTAACTTTGAGGTATGTGGATCATAATACGTAATAGGTGCATACAACTTGCAAGATATGATCCAAAACACACTTATATTCATGAAAACATCATAGGTTCAGATCTGAAATCATGGCACTCAGGCCCTAACAAGCATTAAGCATAGCAAAGTCGTAGCAACATCAATCTCATAACATAGTGGATACTAGGGATCAAGCCCTAACAAATTGACTCAATTACATGACAAATCTCATCCAACTCCATCATCGTCCACCAAGCCTACGAAGGAATTACTCACTCCCAGTGGTGAGCATCATGAAGTTGTTGATAAAGAAGGGTTGGTGATGACGATGGCGATGAATCCCCTCTCCAGAGCCTCAAACGGACTCTAGTACAAACCTCCTAATGAAGAATATGAGGTGGCGGCGGCTCTGTATCGTAAAACATGATGAAACTTCTTCTCTTATTTTTTTCTTGGCGAAACAGAATTTATAGAGTTGAGATTAGGTCAGACGTCCGCTTGTGGGCCCCCACAAGGTAGCAGGGTGTGCCCTATTGCCTTGTGAGCAATAGGTGGCCCCCTCCGGTGGATCTTCATTCCGGTATTTTTTATATATTTCATAAAAAATCTCCAAAATGTTTCATCTAATTTCAATAACTTTTATTTCTGCACAAAAAACAACTCAATGGTAGTTTGATGACCCACAAGTATAGGGGATCAATCGTAGTCCTTTCGATAGGTAAGTGTGTCGAACCCACCAAGGAGCAGAAGGAAATGATAAGCAATTTTCAGTAAGGTATTCTCTGCTAGTACTGAAAGTAGCAGTGCTATATAGTTTTGTAGCAAGATAACTCATAACAAGTAACAATAGTAGCAAAGGTGCAGTGGGGTGGCCCAATCCTTTTTATAGCAAAGGAAAAGCCGGAAACTTCTCTTGTATAAAGCAAAGGGCTCTCGAGGACACATGGGAATTGTCGTCTAGTCACGTTCATCATTTTAGTTGATTCGCGTTCGCTACTTTGATAATTTGATATGTGGGTGGACCGGTACTTGGGTGTTGTTCTTACTTGAACAAGCAACCCACTTATGATTACCCCCTCTCGCAAGCATCCGCAACTACGAAACAAGAATTAAGATAAATCTAACCATAGCATGAAACATATGGATCTAAATCAGCCCCTTACGAATAACGCATAAACTAGGGTTTAAGCTTCTGTCACTCTAGCAACCCATCATCTACTTATTACTCCACAATGTCTTCCCTTAGTCCCAAGTATGGTGAAGTGTCATGTAGTCGATATTCCATGACACCACTAAAGGAAGCAACAACATACATATCGTCAAAATATCGAACGGATATCAACGTCACATGTTTACTTATGACAAGACTTCTCCCATGTGCTCAAAAACAAAAGTAACTAGTCACAA